CCCCCCCCCTGAGCAGAGCGTTCATGGAAGGCGGTTCTCGTTACCCGAGTGCGTATACTGTAATTGAATTACCCTCGGATGATAACTCGTGTAATGACTTGCTGAGTCAGGGTCGCCCGGCCGGCCGGCCCTTCTCATGCAGCACGCGTGGCAGGCGGGGGCCCTGCCCGGCCTAGCTTCAAGGCGGTGAGATAGTTTATGCGCCGGGGCCGGGGCGGGACAGGTGGGGCCCGTCCTCACGTGCCTGCTGCCCTTCCGCCCGGGTGTAGGGCAGGGCAGGGCGCCCCACACCGTCGCGCTGTTTGTCTCCACTTCTTGCCTCCGGCTCTTGTTGTTATCATCATCAAGGGTTTTCCTCCAAGCTAGAACAACTGACTACTGCCCATCCGGCTAGATCTAGCTCAAGCGACTTCTGTTTTGCGCTTTCGAGGTCCTCTCCGTGTGTGTGTGTTTTCCCCCCTGGGTGTGCCCGACTTTGAGCAGGCAGCTCTTTCTTGTTTATGCGTGTGCGCCTGGGCATGCGCGATAGGCAACATCCGGTCACGCGCGCAGATGTATTGCCTAGCAGGCAGGCGCTCCGCCCGAGGGCGTGTGCTCTAGCGGATTTGGCCCAACTTTTTCTGGCAGCACTCGCACGCCCTATGCGCCCCCAGTGTGTCTGTCGGGTGTGATGTCTCCATTCTGCCGCCGCCGAGGTGTCGCCGCCAGGGGGGACCCACAGGGAGGGGACCCGCCGGGGCCGGGTTTTATTATCTGCGCGGATTCGGATTGTATTTGCGGAGCGGGGGACGGAGCCGGTCAATGCGACCGGCGTCCTCCTCCTCCTCCTCACCTGGCTGCTGCTGCTGCGAGCGTCTCCCCGGGGCGGCGCACGTGAACCCATTGTCCTGCCGAGGTCCTTCAAGTCGGAGCCTGACCCGGCCCGCCTCCTGGACCCGGGCTGATCGAGCATCGCCTCTCGCTGCTTCGCGTATCGGAGAGGCGGAGGCTGAGGAGGAGCGCGGCCGCGGCCCCGTCAACAGGTGGCCGCGGCGACCTGAACGCGCGGGGCCCGTAACGCCGCGCGCAGCACGCTCGCGGTCGCCCTCCCCTTCTCCCCTCCCCCTCAACCCCTCTCCCTCCACCCCGATCCTGAAACGCTGCGCAGCAAAACAATCGATTAGATAATGAATCCACATTCATACTTTTGCCGCTTTTGCACCGAAAATCGCGCGCGCGTTTGCTGTGAGAAGGGGGGCGCCGCCGCCGGAGGAAAAAGAAAAAGTGGAGCAGGAGAGAGAGAAGGCAGATCAGACACATATATATTGGGAGAGAGCATGCCGACACAAAAGTGTCAATTATAGAGATCGCCCCCCGTAACAATTGGTGCAAACAAGGGTCAGCCATTTGTTGGGCCAGGTCGCGGGTGGCGCGGTGAGGTAGGGTAGTGTGCCGGGCCGCCGGGCCCGGGCCGCGGCCGAGCACAATGACGATCTAATAGAAAACCGTGTTGACGGCGGGCGCGCATGCGTGGCCCTCCCTATGGCTGCCCTGTCGCCCCCCGGCCCCCGGCCCAGGGTGAGGTGAGAATTTATGGGATGTTCTCCGCTCGACTCTCGACTCGGTATGGCGCATTCATGAGGCGTCCTCCCGCCCCGCCCCGCCCCGCCCCACAGTGTAAGCGGGGCGGAGAGCGAAGCGCGCTCGGCGACACACGCTGCCGCACCGCAACATTAATTGCACGGGCTGCAATTAGCGCAGCGCGCCGGGTAAATTATTGTGCGACTGCAATAATGAAAATCTCGGCCCCCGTAATTGCGTTTGAATGAGGGCGGCAATCTATCTGCGCCGCGCGGGAGGGATCGGGTTATGTAGAAGGGGCTGCGGGGGGAACTAGAGCTGCTGCCCCCCCGCCCCTCGGCGGCGCCGCGATCACTATGGCGGCCGCGGCCGGGCGGTGCGGGATCAACATGGCGGCCAGCTGCGGCTCGGCGGCGGGATCAAGCATGGCCGCCAGCTGCAAAGGCGGCTTGCTCGGAGCGGCAGCTGCGCGGCTGCCCCGCGGCCGGGATTCCGTCGCGTCCAGGACGGCGCGCGTGTGTGGTCCGCTTCCAAGACGCGCGCAAAATTTGTCTAATTGCGCTGTGCTGCTGTGTCTGTGCCGCACCGGTGGCCGGTGCTCGTCCGACTTCGATACGAGGGCCTTAAACTAATGTCTCTCTCTCTCTCTCTCTCTCGACAGGGTTCGTCGCGACGCTGTGCGTCCTCGCGCTGCTGCCGCCCAGAGCCATGGCCGCCCCCACCGGCGCGCCCTCGCCCTCCACGCAGCCCAAGTGGGTCAACCCCTGCGGCCTCAACACCAAGGAGGTGGAGCAGGACCTCGAGTACCAGGGCGAGTCGCAGACCGTCGCCGACATCATCCAGAGGATAGTCACGTTATCAAAGAACGCCCTGGACCACGCCGTGAGCTTCCGAGTTAAATACGTAAGTATCTCATAGTTATCATTCGATGGGAACTACTTTTTTTGCGGGGGGAGGGGGCGGCGCCGAGATAGCCGGCCAGGTGGGCTGCTTGTTTGACTTTGACGGCTTTGACGTCACGAATGACGCGCTTGCATGTCCTTCTTATCGCTTATCACTGGAGGACTTTTTATTTTTCTTGGGGGGGGGGGGGGCAGAGCACCTGGGAAAGGGGCGAAAAATAAAGTGCATACATAGCCTGGCATGCGCGGGATTTCCTCCTGAGCCGGGCGAGGGAGTGCCGCCCACTGTTTGAGTTGCATCTCCGCGTGTTTGCCGCACTCGGCTCCGGCGCGCCGCGAAGGGTAAACCTGCTAACGTCAAAAATACAAAAACATTACGAAAAGAAGGGGAAATGGGGGAAAACGACAGATATATTGGATACGAGGGGGGAGCGTGAGGGGAGAGACAGACTGAGCGAGCGAGTGAGAGAGAAAGAGACGAAGGTCAGGCGGGACCACCGGCAAACCACAGTACAGTATATAGAGGTTTCGCGTCTGGCCGCGGGCGGGCCCGGCTCGGGCGAGCTGGGCCGCGGGCGCTGCGATCCTAAGAATGTCGGACGGTTTTCGTGGAAAGAGGAGTCATTTCCATACGGCCGTAGAGGCCGTCTCGCAGTCCAGACTGGGACTGGGAGTCGCGCGGCAACCAGAATGGGAGGGGGG